GCGAGACCTTCTCGTAGTCCTCTTTGGTCTTGTTCCTCATATGGAACCATTTCTCTAAGGTGTCTTCCCTCAGCGCTCCAGACAGACCCCACTCCTGATGAATCTTCGCCAGCGTCACAGCGTCACGCACCACTTCCACTAAACCTGAACCCAACCATTCATGACACCAGCTCTTACTTTCTTATCTTAAACTGAACGCATTAACTACAGTAAAACAAAAACACTGCTGTTATTTTATTCTTTTGACTGTTTTTATCTAATAAAAAGTATTGAAATGCAAAGAGGCTATTATTAGTGACTGCAATTTCAGGTTTTGGCACCAATGGAGCCGATTACAAAAATCAATTCTGTTCTTACAGCGAAAACAGAGCATGCCTTTGGATTGAGAGAGAAATCCGTCGACACGGGGAGAACATGCCAAACCCTGGCACAGCTAGATCGTCATTCTAAATGTGTCTCGTTTAATGGGATCATTCATTGAAGAATCAAATGATCTTTGGCACAGGGAAGGCCACTGTACTATAAAAACCCCCTCAAAACTTCCTTGTTAGTCCTACTTATCTACTATTTGAACAGAGGTGTTCAAAGTTCAGCTCCAACCCTAATCAAACACGCGTGAAGCGGCTAGCTGAGATCTTCAGGAACACGTGACCGGTGCAGTGTGGCTGGAACTGAAGTCTGAAGGCAGATCTCCATGAACTTTTTGAGCTGCCTTCATCTAGAGAGCATCTCAGAAAAGCATGACCTAATAAATGTGTCTTCAAGGTTTCAAAACAGAGCAACATGAGCCGGCCTCGCCTCTCCTGACAGGAGATATGACACACATACACGTCATCATTCAACAACACTCTGATGCATCGCTAAATCATAAGCAGATTGTGTGTGAATCTGCAGCAAACGAGCGACAGAGTTGATCAGATACAGTCAGGTTTACACTTATTTAGGCATCTGATTGATGTTCAGGAAATTACACGATTGAGCTGCAAACTGAATGAAAAAAACTAAAGTACTGATGCAATATGATGAGTAAAGGATTGCAATTTATCAATACGATTATAACGGCAGAGACCCACATCTTCCTTACAATCCTTTCATCGTCTGACTGACCTTGATCTCGTCCAGTAGAAATGCATCTGTACGTGACCATCCTCATGTCCAGTCCCTCCTGTCTCCACATGCGGTCCAGAAGACTCACGATCTGCAGCACCAGCATGTCCTGCCGCAGGTTATCTCCAGTCTGAGCCAAAACACAACAGCGAAAATCACGCTTTAAGATGAATTCAACGAGTGCTGACAAACTACATTCCCCGTAGCTCGTGAAGGATCTTCATACTTTGCAGATGAGGCTGTAGTTCTGGCCCAGCGGGTCAGCCGTGATGAAGGACACTTCCATGGGCGCTGCGTTTGAATTAAAAACCTTAAAAGACTGAGAGACA